TCTTCTTGTATGGATTCCTTCCTGATTATACAGTTTGGCTACATCATGGTGAGAATTTTGAAGTTGGGCAGAGTAGTAATGTTGGCATTAATCGGGATTCTTATGTCGACAATTCTGCTAATGATATTGAACCTGGGTTGCATGAAATGTTAGATGATATCCATAGAGCTGGAGGGGATATGGAGTGTGGTTTTGAGGGGACTGACACTGTTTGTGATGAAGGCAGGGACAGGGGGGACAAAGTGGACAGATTAGGTAGATTACTTAGTGATGCTCGAGAGCCTTTATTTCCTGGGTGCTCTAAGTATTCTAAACTATCTTTTCTAGTCAAAATGCTTAACAATAAAGTACTCACTAATTCTACCAACAAACTTTTTAACCTAAACTTGGAATTGTTCAAGGATGCTTTGCCAGTTGGTGAGACTCTTCCGTATTCCTATTATGATGTTAAGAAGTATATGAAAGATCTAGGGTTTGGTTATAACATTATAGAAGCCTGCCCTAACCACTGTGTCCTATATAGAGGGAGTTATAAGGATGCAGAGACGTGTCCAAAGTGTCGAGAGCCTAGGTATAAGAGTAGCAAAGGGAAAGGGAAGAGGGTGGCCATACATAAGGTTAGGTACTTCCCTTTGAAGGATAGGCTTCAGAGGTTATTTACAAATAAGGAAATTGCTAAGGATATGAGGTGGCACAAGGAGAAGCGTGTTGACGATGAGGTGCTTAGACACCCGGGTGATGCAGAAACATGGAAAAAATTCGACAGTGACTATGCTTGGTTTGCTGCTGACCCTAGAATGAGACGGACAAGGTGAAAGCTCGGGAGAATCCAATAGAGGAAGTGAACATTGATGACTGGAAGCTACTCTGCGACCATTTTGATAGTGTGCAATTCAAGGTAATCTTAAAACAACCTACCTGGATACATTGAATATTAGGATTCAATTTCCTAAATACAGAATGATATCCTCATAATGCAGAAGCGAAGTGACATAAATGTAGACAATAGAAGCCAAGTATTGTATCCTCATACAACAGGTGCTAAGTCACTTAGTCAAAGGATTTTTGAACTGGTAAGCGAAAACATATGTTTGTGGTTGTTTCACTGGATATACCATTTTGTAAATCTTATGAGATTATTTTCTAACATTAGAATGAGAAGGAGAAGACGGCAAATAGTGAGCAAACTAATGATGGAGTGGAGCCGAGTAACGGTGAGCAGCAGAATGACTCAGCAGAGCAGCAGAACCCTACTGTGCCGCCTCCAGAGGTGGTTGTGTATGCTGACACTCATAAGAGGCGTGATGGAAGCTGGGTTCATCCAGATACTGAGAAAAATTATGTATGCCTCTATGTGTGTGAATACTTTCATGTGTGAATGCACGTGTATGGATGTTGATTACTGAGTGAGTTGTTGTTTCTTTCCTTGTAGGCCAATATGACTGCCTTGAGCAGTCAGTCAGGTAATAATGTTCCAGGTTCTGAGATTGTTGACAAGGTGCTGAAGAAAAAGCCAAGGATATCTAGAAAGGAAGCACGACGATCGGCTAGAGAGATTCAGCTGGAGAGAGAATTGCAAGCCGAAAGGCTAGAAAGGCAGGCAGAAAGGGAGACTTTTGAAAGGCGGACCAAGCAATTTGAGGAGCAAATTGAAATTCAGCAGTCGAAACTACAAACTCAAGACACAAAGTTTGAGGAGATGGAAGCATCGCAGCACCGTCTTGAAGCTACTGTTCGTGACTTGGCTGCTAGAATGGCTGGAAATAACAACTGAAGGAGGTAATCTACTAACTCCTTCGAGAGATAACAACAGAACTAATGCAACAGTCTGAATGTGGGGTGATGAACTAATGCATGTTATCTACAGGTGAGATGATGCATGTGAGGAGGGCATGTGAGGAGGGCTGGACAGAGGTTGCTGATTTTGGGATTCAAGTAGTTGGCTTGAGTTGCTGCATGATTTTGGGGTACTAAACTATTAGGAACGTTAATATTTATCAGGTGTAAGTGTCGGATAATGTTTATAAGTGTAAGTGTCGGATAATGGTGTTTAGTAATGCTTGTTATGTAGCAGCAGATTTTTGGCAAACAACAGATATTAGCCATTTTGTGGTTTGAATGAAGAAGCTTGTTTTTATGTCCAACAGCTCCTTGGGTACCTCTCAAATGATGAATCTATTTTTGTCACTATTTGTTCTGTCAATCCTAATTTAGACTAACAAAATATGAAAAACCATTTGTCACATCAAACCTACCCAAATTGTGACAGATGTGATTTGTCATAATAAATTAACAAAATATCAAATACGACAAACATTGTGACAAAAAATATCGTCATAACAAACATTTTCGTCACAATAAGTACCAGAGAATAATGTTTTACGTGACAAAATCGTGTTTTGTTGTGACAAAATATCAAGTTATTGCTACAAGATATTTCGTCACATTAAATACTTATTATGACACCTTATGTTTGTCACAATACGGGATAAGTTGTTGTGACAAGATGAAAAATATTTTGTCACAATATACCTATTACGACGGGGTTCTTGCAACGAAACTTTGTGACAAACATATTTGTCACAATAAACCTAATGTGACGAAGAAGGTACTTAATGTGACGAAATCCATCCGTCATAATATACCAAAAATGTTGTAGTGATTTTTCGAAGATCGCCCTGCCCCTGACTAAGCTTCTTGAGAAGGATGCCCCCTTCCAGTTCACTGATGCATGCATAACGGCCTTCACAACCTTGAAGGAGAAGCTCACCCAAGCTCCTATCATGGTTGTTCCTGACTGGTCCCTACCCTTTGAGCTGATGTGCGATGCCAGTGACTTTGCTGTTGGAGCTGTCTTGGGGCAGAGGCGAGACCAGCACTTCCGACCAATCTACTACGCCTCAAAGACCCTAAATGATGCCCAGGAGAACTACACCACCACGGAAAAGGAGTTGCTGGCAGTAGTGACTCACTCCTACTGTCACTCTAGAAAATGGCCAAGTGTAACCACTTCCTAAAGCGTAGTATAGCGGGTTTGGGTTTTATTGTCAACCCGGGTCCTAGATGTGATGACTACTCAGTGAATTCGTATTATCTAGCAATGAAACTTTAGTGAAGATCTAAACTAACAAGCAAGCAAAGCAACTAAACGGTTGTTTTTCAGGTTAAGAGAGGTCACCCGGATATGGTTCCCCCTAGACTGCAGTTAAGCCGGATTGTAATTACCAAGTTCAATTTCTATGATAGTTATACTGCGGAAGGTTCTCAAACAGTCTGAAGTCTCGACTAAAGGTCTTCATACCCTCTCAATCTGAGTCTCTAGCGGGCGACTAACCTCCACCGGAATAAACAGATTGAGGCCCTAACGAACCAAACCTCCACTACCGAATGGGATTCGGTACAGAATAGCGAATTGGCTCCTCGACTAAAGTCACCAATTCGCCACCTTCGATTAAGGATACTCTATCAACCTAGGCAGATATTCTCATTCTAGGTTAAAGCAGAAACAACAGGAATTTGATCAGGATTCAAGTCATTCAATCATTCAAACCTCAATCGAATATAATCAATTCAAAAACTCTGTACTTGGGTTCATACAATCAGACCTAGCATACAAATCTAGGGTTCCCCATACCCAGATGAATGGGGGAACTACTCCATAGAGAAAGAAGCAAAAGCAGAATCAGACGCGGAAATCATATTGTGAAGATGGATTTCTGCTCCTGGACGTTGAATCGGCACTTCTCCAAGCTCAAGCCAAGCTCCAATGGTGATGAAGATCAAGCTAGGGCACTTGGAGACTCTTGTTCGTCGCTTTCTCTCTCTATGAACCGCTCTGTCTCTCTAAAACTCGAATCCCCCTCTGTTTTGGCTGAAATCTCCTTAAAAACCAGAATTTCCCGACTCACACGAGCAGGCCACACGGCCGTGTGGCTCACCATTTTGCCCGTGCGAGCCGAAACGCAGCGTATGGATTAGTTCGGTCTTCAGCCACCTCACACGGCCAGGGTTGCACGGCCGTGTGAGAATTCCAGTCTGCCCGTGTTTGACCTCGGCAAAAATCACACGGCCACCTTGCTCTCGTGCACGGCCGTGTGAAAATCACTTGTGCCCGTGTTTGCTCTCGCACAATCCCACATGGCCTGGGTTGTCAGTTGCACGGCCGTGTGGTCTTTATGTGTGCCCGTGCAGCTTCCTCAGAACCTCGCCATGCGTCCGATCCTCGTCCAATCGACCCCAAACTCGCTCCCAAGCCTCCATTCACGTACTAGGACCTGAAATATCATAAACAAGCACAACCTAGCGTGAAATCGGCCTAAAACACGAGAATCAACACCTCAAACGGAGTAAGAGCAGGGGTAAGAACATGTGTAAATAACGGTCTATCAAACTCCCCCACACTTAACCATTTGCTTGTCCCCAAGCAAACCTAACTCAAACCAATGCAACTCTCCAGACCTCTATAGCAACAAACAACCTCGATCGTAGGTAGAGGACTTCCTAGATCATTTAGCAGCTTACGAGGTCAACCGACGCACAAGTCATCTCATAGCTTCTTCGGCGAGAGCACTAGTCTCGAGTCGGCATCATGGTAAATAGTGAACAGAGGACAAATGAATCGTGGATGACGAGACTCTCAAGAACAAAGGATCATGGACTCACATTTTTTCAAGGTGCTCGATTCCCTTCTTGAAGATGGTTGGAACCCCTTTCTTTCTTCTTTTTGCTTGTTTTTCTGTTTTTTTTTTTTTCAAGGGTTCCAACCTGTTTTTTTTCAGAAAACGGGGGCTCCCACCTAGCAAAGGTTTTGCGGGAGCCCGGCTCTTACCGGCCATGCCAGGAGCGGTTGTCTCGAGCCTCGTGCGGGGGAAAGACATGTAAGGAGGCACGACGATCGGCTAGAGAGATTCAGCTGGAGAGAGAATTGCAAGCCGAAAGGCTAGAAAGGCAGGCAGAAAGGGAGACTTTTGAAAGGCGGACCAAGAAATTTGAGGAGCAAATTGAAATTCAGCAGTCGAAACTACAAACTCAAGACACAAAGTTTGAGGAGATGGAAGCATCGCAGCACCGTCTTGAAGCTACTGTTCGTGACTTGGCTGCTAGAATGGCTGGAAATAACAACTGAAGGAGGTAATCTACTAACTCCTTCGAGAGATAACAACAGAACTAATGCAACAGTCTGAATGTGGGGTGATGAACTAATGCATGTTATCTACAGGTGAGATGATGCATGTGAGGAGGGCATGTGAGGAGGGCTGGACAGAGGTTGCTGATTTTGGGATTCAAGTAGTTGGCTTGAGTTGCTGCATGATTTTGGGGTACTAAACTATTAGGAACGTTAATATTTATCAGGTGTAAGTGTCGGATAATGTTTATAAGTGTAAGTGTCGGATAATGGTGTTTAGTAATGCTTGTTATGTAGCAGCAGATTTTTGGCAAACAACAGATATTAGCCATTTTGTGGTTTGAATGAAGAAGCTTGTTTTTATGTCCAACAGCTCCTTGGGTACCTCTCAAATGATGAATCTATTTTTGTCACTATTTGTTCTGTCAATCCTAATTTAGACTAACAAAATATGAAAAACCATTTGTCACATCAAACCTACCCAAATTGTGACAGATGTGATTTGTCATAATAAATTAACAAAATATCAAATACGACAAACATTGTGACAAAAAATATCGTCATAACAAACATTTTCGTCACAATAAGTACCAGAGAATAATGTTTTACGTGACAAAATCGTGTTTTGTTGTGACAAAATATCAAGTTATTGCTACAAGATATTTCGTCACATTAAATACTTATTATGACACCTTATGTTTGTCACAATACGGGATAAGTTGTTGTGACAAGATGAAAAATATTTTGTCACAATATACCTATTACGACGGGGTTCTTGCAACGAAACTTTGTGACAAACATATTTGTCACAATAAACCTAATGTGACGAAGAAGGTACTTAATGTGACGAAATCCATCCGTCATAATATACCAAAAATGTTGTAGTGATTTTTCGAAGATCGCCCTGCCCCTGACTAAGCTTCTTGAGAAGGATGCCCCCTTCCAGTTCACTGATGCATGCATAACGGCCTTCACAACCTTGAAGGAGAAGCTCACCCAAGCTCCTATCATGGTTGTTCCTGACTGGTCCCTACCCTTTGAGCTGATGTGCGATGCCAGTGACTTTGCTGTTGGAGCTGTCTTGGGGCAGAGGCAAGACCAGCACTTCCGACCAATCTACTACGCCTCAAAGACCCTAAATGATGCCCAGGAGAACTACACCACCACGGAAAAGGAGATGCTGGCAGTAGTGACTCACTCCTACTGTCACTCTAGAAAATGGCCAAGTGTAACCACTTCCTAAAGCGTAGTATAGCGGGTTTGGGTTTTATTGTCAACCCGGGTCCTAGATGTGATGACTACTCAGTGAATTCGTATTATCTAGCAATGAAACTTTAGTGAAGATCTAAACTAACAAGCAAGCAAAGCAACTAAACGGTTGTTTTTCAGGTTAAGAGAGGTCACCCGGATATGGTTCCCCCTAGACTGCAGTTAAGCCGGATTGTAATTACCAAGTTCAATTTCTATGATAGTTATACTGCGGAAGGTTCTCAAACAGTCTGAAGTCTCGACTAAAGGTCTTCATACCCTCTCAATCTGAGTCTCTAGCGGGCGACTAACCTCCACCGGAATAAACAGATTGAGGCCCTAACGAACCAAACCTCCACTACCGAATGGGATTCGGTACAGAATAGCGAATTGGCTCCTCGACTAAAGTCACCAATTCGCCACCTTCGATTAAGGATACTCTATCAACCTAGGCAGATATTCTCATTCTAGGTTAAAGCAGAAACAACAGGAATTTGATCAGGATTCAAGTCATTCAATCATTCAAACCTCAATCGAATATAATCAATTCAAAAACTCTGTACTTGGGTTCATACAATCAGACCTAGCATACAAATCTAGGGTTCCCCATACCCAGATGAATGGGGGAACTACTCCATAGAGAAAGAAGCAAAAGCAGAATCAGACGCGGAAATCATATTGTGAAGATGGATTTCTGCTCCTGGACGTTGAATCGGCACTTCTCCAAGCTCAAGCCAAGCTCCAATGGTGATGAAGATCAAGCTAGGGCACTTGGAGACTCTTGTTCGTCGCTTTCTCTCTCTATGAACCGCTCTGTCTCTCTAAAACTCGAATCCCCCTCTGTTTTGGCTGAAATCTCCTTAAAAACCAGAATTTCCCGACTCACACGAGCAGGCCACACGGCCGTGTGGCTCACCATTTTGCCCGTGCGAGCCGAAACGCAGCGTATGGATTAGTTCGGTCTTCAGCCACCTCACACGGCCAGGGTTGCACGGCCGTGTGAGAATTCCAGTCTGCCCGTGTTTGACCTCGGCAAAAATCACACGGCCACCTTGCTCTCGTGCACGGCCGTGTGAAAATCACTTGTGCCCGTGTTTGCTCTCGCACAATCCCACACGGCCTGGGTTGTCAGTTGCACGGCCGTGTGGTCTTTATGTGTGCCCGTGCAGCTTCCTCAGAACCTCGCCATGCGTCCGATCCTCGTCCAATCGACCCCAAACTCGCTCCCAAGCCTCCATTCACGTACTAGGACCTGAAATATCATAAACAAGCACAACCTAGCGTGAAATCGGCCTAAAACACGAGAATCAACACCTCAAACGGAGTAAGAGCAGGGGTAAGAACATGTGTAAATAACGGTCTATCAAACTCCCCCACACTTAACCATTTGCTTGTCCCCAAGCAAACCTAACTCAAACCAATGCAACTCTCCAGACCTCTATAGCAACAAACAACCTCGATCGTAGGTAGAGGACTTCCTAGATCATTTAGCAGCTTACGAGGTCAACCGACGCACAAGTCATCTCATAGCTTCTTCGGCGAGAGCACTAGTCTCGAGTCGGCATCATGGTAAATAGTGAACAGAGGACAAATGAATCGTGGATGACGAGACTCTCAAGAACAAAGGATCATGGACTCACATTTTTTCAAGGTGCTCGATTCCCTTCTTGAAGATGGTTGGAACCCCTTTCTTTCTTCTTTTTGCTTGTTTTTCTGTTTTTTTTTTTCAAGGGTTCCAACCTGTTTTTTTTCAGAAAACGGGGGCTCCCACCTAGCAAAGGTTTTGCGGGAGCCCGGCTCTTACCGGCCATGCCAGGAGCGGTTGTCTCGAGCCTCGTGCGGGGGAAAGACATGTAAGGAGGCTGGAGGTAGTAGGTGGAAATTGGGAACGGATTCCCGTCTCCCCTTACACACTTTCGCCCTATTCGCACGGGAGACGTTATTTTAAAGCACATTTTTGAGCACCTATTATTTCCAAAACATGATACAAGAGTCCATGATAGGTAGAGAGTCCACAACACCACACAATTCAAGGGTCCTAAGATCACTAATTCACTCAATCAACCAACACAGTATGAAGAAGAAATGAGACGTCTTAAATGCATCAACATCCTCCATAGTGCTACACTACCTCCCTAGGTTGCAAATCACTACAGAGACTGTCAATTCAAAGCATACTGAGCAGGCAATTGCAAGGAACACGTACTTGGAGCCCTCAAATTTAAAAGTTTGGACAGCGGACTAGGCTCCAAGCACACAAACAGATCTAATGCAGTCAAAAGATAAACATCCCCCCACACTTAAGATCGACATTGCCCTCAATGGAGAAGAGGGAAGGAAAGGGGAACGATGTTACCGGTGTGTCGGGGTGGGCATTCGGTCGGTTCGGTTCAAACCGAACCGAACTAATGATTACCGGGTCCCCGAAATAGCTCATGGAACCAACCGAATTCGAACCGAAATATATTTCGGTTCGGTTCATCCGAACCGAAATATATCTCGGTTCGGCTCGGTTTTGAGGCCAAAACCGAAATTTCATACAATAACTCTCTGACTCTCTCCCCACCACTAACCCTCTCCCCATTTTCCACCTACGCAGACCCTCTCTCTCCCCACTTACTCTCTTTCACCGACCTGTCCTATCACCCCACCTACCAAAAGAAAACACAGAACCAATTCTCACTCTTTCTTCTTCTCTCACTCTTTCTTCTTTTTCTCTCTCAATTCTCAGCGCACAAAGCAGCGGGCAGTGGTGATTTCTCCTCCCGACTCCCGTCTCTGGCGATTGATGGAGAAAAGAACTCAGGGACTGGTGGCGATTGCGATTGACGGAGAGAACAACCTAGCGGCGACGGCGACGGCGACGGTGATTGACGGAGAGAACAACCCAGCGGCGATGGCGACGGCGATTGACATCGCTGATTGTGACGACTCCGGCAATGAAGGTTAGAGGTTATTAAGGTTCAATATCTAAGTATGCATGAACTTTTTGTTTGTTTTTCTCCTTCGCCTCTACTCCTCATCGATTTTGCGCTGCATGTTTGTAGTTGGTTGAAGCTTCGAAGGAAGCGATGGCATGAAGCAGATCTTGGTTTGGGGGCGATGGTGTCGAAGTTGGCAGATCTTGAACTCCGCCGGTGGGGGCTCGGGTGGGGGAAGGAGCAGAGCTGAGAGATTTTTTTGGTAGGAGGGTCGGGTGTGGGAGAGAATGAAGAAGGAATCAGGGCCTTGAAGCTGGCGCAGATCTTGAAGTTCCGCCGCCAAGACTTCATTCGTCAATTGTTTTGAGTAACAGGGCCTAGGGTTTTAGAGAAATGGGAAAATAAATGTAGTGGGCTTGGGTTGTTTGGGCTTGGGGATTGTGGGCTTTGGTTGTGAGTGTAAATTCGGTTGGTCGGTTCGGAAATCGGAAATCGGGTTCGGTTGAGCAGACCCTGATTTCCGAAATAGTGGGTTATGCCTTCCGATTTCCGAACCGAATAAGGATGTTTCGGTTTCGGTTCGGTACATTTCGGTTTCGGTCCGGTTCGGTTCGGGTTTACCGAACCGGATGCCCACCCCTACCGGTGTGCACAGATTGTAGGAGACTGGAAATGGATCAGTCGGCATGAAACGGACTAGAGAGGGACCAGTCTGGAACAAAGCACAGCTAAAGGGAAACAGAAGAGCTCAAACACAATATGTTAGGTCCAATGTCAGCCCAATAAGACATCATCCAAAACAAAGGAAAACAAACCAAAACCAAACTGGTTTACAATCCGACTCAAAACACAAGAAAGAAAGTCAAATTGTGGTGGGGTTGCCTCCCCACAAGAGCTTCTTTGCCGTCTTTTAGCTGGACGCCCATGGTGGATACTCAGGGAGGTGCTGGAACAGGTACCCCCAAGAGCGGATCCAAGTCGCTCTTGAGGTACAGCTTCAGGTTGTGGCCATGCACCCGACGGGTGCAACCACCAGCATTGGTCAGCTAGACCTGGCCATCCGGCAGGATGCAAGTGAGTGAGTACTCGGATGGCCAGGGTGGTCGTGGTGCAGGGGGCGGGACCAGCTCGTAGTGGTCTCCACCCTTCTTCCGTGCAGGCTGAGCAACCTGCTGCTTCGGCCGCCACTCCTCCTTGAGCTTTTTGTTCGGAGGCGAGGCTGGATGGAGTGGCGGCGAAGGAGTGAGAGGAGGGTCCTGCAAAATGGGAGGTGCAGAAAGATACACGACAGACTCGTGTACCTGATCAGAAATGGCATGCACAGGTGTGACAGCAATCATAGCACAGTGATCGAAATCAGTCACAGAAAAAGTAGCCTGTTCATTCCCAGCACTCAGGATCAGTTTACCATCATGCACATCAATAAGTGCCTTGGCGGTGGCAAGAAATGGTCTCCCTAAAATCAAAGGCACATCCACATCATCATTTATATCCAGAATAACAAAATACAGGATATGTGAATGCACCCACTTTAACAAGCAGATCCTCTATGATACCCCTAGGATGCACAACGGAACGGTCAGCTAGCTGAATGCTCATCCTAGTAGGGCTAAGTTCACCTAGGTCTAGCTTCTTGAACAATTTGTATGGCATGACATTAATGCTAGCGCCTAGGTCCGCCAAGGACTTTCCTATATGCATGCTGCCAATAGTAAGAGGGATAGTAAAACTCCCTGGATCCTTGCGCTTCTCGGGCAGCTTGTTCTGCAGGACAGCAGAACACTCCTCGCTCAGCAGCACTGTCGAGAGATCCCCAAGTTTCTTCTTGTTGGTGCAGAGATCTTTCATGAACTTTGCGTACTTGGGCATCTTCGACAGTGCCTCCACAAAAGGTACGCTGATGTTGAGCTGCTTCAGCATTGCCATAAACTTGGCAAACTCAGTCTCCAGCTTGTCTTTGTGTAGGCGAGTGGGGAAGGGAAGCTGGGGTACATGCTCCTTAACCACTGATTGTGGCTTGGGAGCAGGGGCTTCCTTCTCCACCCGCACTTCTGCATCGTCGGCTGGAAGTGCTGAAGCAGGTAGTGGCTCCTCCTGCCTGGTCGGGGCAGGATCAGCCGATGTGGGCCTGCCACTCCTGGTGAAGATGGCATCCAGCTGCTCGGGCGGCTCCCGTGGATTGGGGATGGTGGTGGCAGGTAGAGTCCCCGGGGCCCGGGCAGTAAGTTGGCGCGCTAGGGCACCGACTTGGTGCTGTAGATCTTGCAGAATAGCACCCTGGTTCCTCTGACCTGCCTCCAGAGAGGCTATGCTCTGGTCCACCCTCATGAAATTCGCCTGGCTAGTGGTCATGAATGCCGCCAAAATATTCTTCAGATCGGTCATTTGGTTATCGGGAGCTGGGGCTGCTGCTGGCTCAGCATACTGTCGTTGGGGCTGCTGAAATGGCTGCCCCTGCCTAGGCTGGTAGGGTTGCTGTGGTGGTGGCCCTTGCCTAGCCTGGAAGGGCTGCCTCTGCTGAAAACCACCCGCTGGTGCTGGGAAACCAGGGGGTTTGGTGTTGTTGCTGCCCCAGGAGAAGTTGGGATGCTGGCGCCATCCTTCATTGTAGGTGTTGCTGTATGGGTCCAGGCGCCGAGCATTGGCGATGAAGTCCACCTGTTCTTGGGGATTAGAGGACTCCCTCATAGCTTGACAGTCCTCCACCCGGTGATTCGGGCTCTCACACCACTGACACTGAGCTACTGGAGGCGTAACTACACCTCGTCCCGGAAGGAGGCTGTTAGGCTGCTTTAATGTCTGCACCAACTCAGCCACCTGCTGCTCTAACCTGGATCTGGCCTCCATAGCATGCACACCACGGTCCCGGGACTGTCTGCCTCTGCTGCTCTGCCCCCAGGAGTGATCTCGGGCAGCCAAGGTACTGATCATCTGGTTCAGCTCGGGTGGAGTCTTAGTGAGAATATCCCCTCCTGGGCATAGAGACTCGATCACCCTCTGGCTGTCGGGTGTGAGGGCACTGTAGAAGTTCCCCACTGTGAATGCATCACTGAAGCCATGATGGGGACACTTCTAGAAATATCCCATGTACCGCTCCCATGCATCACGAAGGGACTCATCTGGCTCTTGGCGGAAGTGAGTGATCTCCCGCTGAATCTCTGTGGTCTTCGATGCCGGATAGTACCTGTGCACGAACTTGTCAGCCAGATCGTCCCAAGAGGTGATGGACAGTGGGGGCTGGGTCTCCAACCACCTCTTAGCATTCCCCGCCAGAGAATGGGGGAAGAGGTGAAGGCGGATTGCGTCATCCGGAACACCGTTCAGCTTGAACCCGTTTGTCAGCTGCAGAAAACGGGAAAGATGTGCCCGGGCCTCCTCATCCTTCAAGCCATGAAACTGGATAGAGGAAGTAATGAGTTGAATCCAGCATGGCTTGATCTCGAAGTTGTTTGCTGGAATTGGCGGATAGAGGATGACCGGGCGGATGTCAGCAATCCGCGGAGTGTAGTAGAACTCCAAGGTGGGACCCGGTGGTGGTGGATGATGATGGACCCCAGCTGCCTGGGGATTGGGGTCGTTCCCCAGGAACTGGTTCTCCGGAGGTGGGTTGTGATCGCCTTCCATCTCGTAGTCGTCCTCGGACTCGCTGCTCAATTGGCCGTTTCTGCGCTCTTCCGTAGCCAGTCTAGCTCGCTGTTGTCTCCTAAGCTGGCGACTGGTGCGTTCAATCTCTGGATCCAACGGCAGTAAACCTCCTGACTGGCTACGGGTCATGCACTATCTGCACACAATCAAGCAATGCAAACCCGTGAAGGCACAAGTGGGAAAGAAGAAACACTCAATGCGAAAATGAAAATACTAAAGTAACAGAAATCACTTTTCTTCAACAACCTAGCCGTCCCCGGCAACGGCGCCAAAAACTTGAATCACTCCTACTGTCACTCTAGAAAATGGCCAAGTGTAACCACTTCCTAAAGCGTAGTATAGCGGGTTTGGGTTTTATTGTCAACCCGGGTCCTAGATGTGATGACTACTCAGTGAATTCGTATTATCTAGCAATGAAACTTTAGTGAAGATCTAAACTAACAAGCAAGCAAAGCAATTAAACGGTTGTTTTCAGGTTAAGAGAGGTCACCCGGATATGGTTCCCCCTAGACTGCAGTTAAGCCGGATTGTAATTACCAAGTTCAATTTCTATGATAGTTATACTGCGGAAGGTTCCCAAACAGTCTGAAGTCTCGACTAAAGGTCTTCAGACCCTCTCAATCTGAGTCTCTAGCGGGCGACTAACCTCCACCGGAATAAACAGATTGAGGCCCTAACGAACCAAACCTCCACTACCGAATGGGATTCGGTACAGAATAGCGAATTGGCTCCTCGACTAAAGTCACCAATTCGCCACCTTCGATTAAGGATACTCTATCAACCTAGGCAGATATTCTCATTCTAGGTTAAAGCAGAAACAACAGGAATTTGATCAGGATTCAAGTCATTCAATCATTCAAACTTCAATCGAATATAATCAATTCACAAACTCTGTACTTGGGTTCATACAATCAGACCTAGCATACAAATCTAGGGTTCCCCATACCCAGATGAATGGGGGAACTACTCCATAGAGAAAGAAGCAAAAGCAGAATCAGACGCGGAAATCATACTGTGAAGATGGATTTCTGCTCCTGGACGTTGAATCGGCACTTCTCCAAGCTCAAGCCAAGCTCCAATGGTGATGAAGATCAAGCTAGGGCACTTGGAGACTCTTGTTCGTCGCTTTCTCTCTCTAGGAACCGCTCTGTCTCTCTAAAACTCGAATCCCCCTCTGTTTTGGCTGAAATCTCCTTAAAAACCAGAATTTCCCGACTCACACGGGCAGGCCACACGGCCGTGTGGCTCACCATTTTGCCCGTGCGAGCCGAAACGCAGCGTATGGATTAGTTCGGTCTTCAGCCACCTCACACGGCCAGGGTTGCACGGCCGTGTGAGAATTCCAGTCTGCCCGTGTTTGACCTCGGCAAAAATCACACGGCCACCTTGCTCTCGTGCACGGCCGTGTGAAAATCACTTGTGCCCGTGTTTGCTCTCGCACAATCCCACACGGCCTGGGTTGTCAGTTGCACGGCCGTGTGGTCTTTATGTGTGCCCGTGCAGCTTCCTCAGAACCTCGCCATGCGTCCGATCCTCGTCCAATCGACCCCAAACTCGCTCCCAAGCCTCTATTCACGTACTAGGACCTGAAATATCATAAACAAG